CCGCTTCCTCAGCGTAACCCATTTCTTCTTTATTCTCAGCACAGTTCTTGTTTCAACAAAATACAACTAACGACGCAGCTTCTGCTTAAACGAGAGTGATGGTTTGACATATTGAATAATGTGAGACAACAATAGATAGGTGGGATCTATCCATCCATTGGATCATCTGTCTTGATGGTGAAGGCCACAGTCTTACTGATGGTCATCCCTCTCTGTTTCCTCTTTTCCTTTTTTCTCACTTCCCACTTTCAACCATCCTCTTGTTGCTGACTCAGAAATTTGACAAGTAGGTCAGTCAAATGAATTAAAAAAAAACGTTTCTTTGCTTAGCTTTTCATGAGGCTGTTAGGTTTCATGGGGAGGTTTTTATGTCTGTAGTTGTCTTTTTCTTCCATTCTGTCCTGGTCGATATTTCTACAAATGCAGATCTTTTAAATGTAATTATATTACTGTATATAGTCCTTTAGACAGCCCTACACCACACTGATATCTGTCAAACATTTTTGCTTAAGTTTACTCTTCCCATACCTGAAAAAAGCAAAACCTCTATCAATACATACGACAGGCTATCCAAGTCAAAGAGAGATCCACCAAACAGGACAGCTGAGTTTTAACTTAAGTTTTAAGAGTTTTTAACTTTTTAACCAGCCGTTACTGGAAATGTAAAACTCACTATTTCTGTGAATGTGTGACAGAATACATGTGGTGTTGTAAAAGGAGTTTACATTATAGAGGATTGTTAAGTATGACCAGAGGCTTTTTAATTCACCTATGACAGTGTTTTTCCCTCCTGTTGGAGAAATACTGGCATGTGTTTCTTTATGCCTTACATTTATATTACAACAGCTGCAGAATAAAACAAATATTCATTGCGATCATGACTTTGGCTTCCCATAATTATATGAACATAATTTACTGTGATTTTGACGTTTACAGTGTGTTCTGCTCATAGAAACCTCTAAATATGAACACAAGCGCTCAAACTAACAGCCAGCCACCAGGGGGCGATCTAGAGGGTTTGGCTTCTGGTACCCTACAGCCTGTAAAACACTACCTGAATGAGCAGAAAATGCACTCAATTCAGGTGAAGAATAACCATATTTTGATGCAAAGATTTGTTAATTAGAAATGTAGCACAATGTGAAAGTTATACGACATTCAGAGTCGTAACGTTTGCCGTAGTTTGAACTGTTAGCGCTGTTAGCACAGCTAGCTACGAGCCACCGCCTCAGGCATCGCCATGTTGAGAGCCGATAAGAGGCAATGGAAATGCTCCCAGTCTTGTATCTTGCACCTTTTTAAAGCAGTGCTCAAAAAGCAGTTGATCGAATTGAATATTGCTTGAAATATGGCAGCACTACTGAGCCCTACGCTGCTATGCGTCTGTGTTTCATAACACTGTGTTTGTTGGAGTGTTCAATGCTGGTCTGACTCGTCTGTTGTATCGCCTGTGAAGTGGTCCCTTCCTCCTGTCTACAGGAAAGATAGGGCAACATCCTGTCGCACCCTCGACTCCCAACCATGCAGATCAGATCCACACACAGAGCCTCGAGTGATAACCACGAGCACATTCAAGCTGCCAAACTAATGTCTTTGACTAGCGAGCTTTGTTTTTACGTCTGTTTAAAATACATATTATCCTAAAAGAAAAAACCCATCTGTTCCCCTGAGCTCTGATGAAATAGTTAGACGTACGAACACCTTTCATTCTTCCTGACTTCCATCTGATGGAAGAGATTTTTTTGATCCACTGCAGCTCTGCAGTCAACAGAATTTAGATTGTAGAAAATGTTGTGATTTAACCGTAGAAATGGCACTAAAGCCAGGAAGTGGGGTTCTCAAATTCAAAGGAATATGCAGCATAAAAAACTAAAAAAAGACAATTAAAAAAGTGTGTAATATGAACATGAGACATGTGCTCTTCAGTAACTGGAGGGTGATTCTAAAGTGTCCTGAAGGAAAACACTGAACACCTACATGCTCACTAATTGCAGGTTTCTCTGGATGAGAGCTGCAGCTAAAGGCCTTAAATGTAAATGTAGGAGGATTCATCTGTGTTTTTATGTCGATCATCTCAGCTCCTGCTGAGCTTTACTGACTCACTTTCACTCTCTCTCTCTCCAGCCCACTCACACTCACACACACACTCACTCACTATCACAGAGTCTTCTGATCGTCTTTCATCTCTTTTTTTCTTCTTCTGAGAACAATGTGTTGATCATTTTTTATTGTGATCATACTTTATTGTTCTGCCTCCGTACCAACAACAGCTGTGTCCCGAGGAGTTATGTTATAACTTCAAAACACGTCTTTGTTCATAACTCGATTATTGATACATGTCTAATAAAGGATAAAGTGGGGACATTTTGGACAGACATGGATGTAAACCAGAAGTTAAACAACTGTGAGCTGGTAGTTCTAGTTTCTTTGATCATATCTGAGCTTTAAACTGAAGACGCAGTCAAATACTCAATCCACAATGTAAAAACCTTCACCAGCTCATAACAAAGAAACACATGTGTATTGCCATATGTTTGATGAACCTGCATTACATCTATCTTACTAATAATAGTGTAAACTAAAAGGCTTTAATGTTTAAATATTCATTAATTTCAGCCGGATCTTAGCGAGGAATTAAATGAAAGTGTCCAAACTGATCCTGAATTTATGTGATTTCTCCCTGACATGCAAACGAATCACCTTTCAGTTAAATTCGCCGTTTCTTAATCTAATCTTTGTCACCTTTCTTCACCCCCGATGAGTTTTGCGTGCGTTTCCCTCTGACCACAGAGTGGGACACCATTACTCGTGACCACATTACAGGTGTAATCACTCTGCTATCCTGAAGTAGGTACACATTGATCAAGGGCACTGCCTTGTGATCAGGATAGGAACCTAATATACAGAGCTCTACCCAGAGAGCGATGTCTAAAGCAGCTATATGTGAGACCAGGATGACTGCGCTTCCAGAACAGCTGGATTTCTTTGACATTCCCACATACAGCGCAGCAGCAGCATTGATTTGGTACAGTTGTTAGGATTGTATTCATGGTTTAAATTGTCCTCACAGCACAGAGAGTACGATACAAAGGGGGTAAATATGGGGGTGATATTTGGTGTGTCTCTGATACGGTCTGTGTCGTTGGACAATAGCTTCTCTATGTGAGGCCTCGCTCCTCTCTTCCCTCTCACTCCTCCTCTTTCCCTCCTTTCTTTTTCTTCTTTCTTCCCTCTCTTGTGTCTTCTCTCTGTCGTTCTTTTCCCCATTCTTTCCTTTGCTGTTCTGTAAGAGTCTTTGACATAAAGCCAGTGTTGTACTTGATGTGCTTCATGCTGCTGGAGTGTTTGCACAATAAGTGTTTGCACAATGGACTTTGTCTTATTATATGAAAGTCTTTTTAATTAAGGGTAATCATAGATTATACCTTAATTTCTTACAGCCCTGTCAGGTAAAAATGACGGGTAATGAGAGTCTATGTAAGCACTACTGTACATGTTGACTTCCATCCACATGTGATGCTTTCAGGTGACTTAACATTAGTTTTTCGCCTGTAATTAAAGTGCACAGTAATAAGACTTTGTGAAATTAGGCTGTGGGGTCGGCCACAATACTCACCACGCCATACTGAAAAAAATATATCATGTCTGTGCTCTTGGGTGCAACATTTGTGTAATAGAGACACTGATCCTAAATTACTTGAACCACATCTTTGGCATTCATGTATTTTAGTTTCTTAAATAGATCTTATAGATACTTAAAATCTAACACCCATATCAATATATCTGTAATAAGCTCATATCAGTCTGGCTCTAACAGAGCGGGACAGAAGAGTAGAATAAAGTGATTTTAATTGAGCTCAGGAGGGCTATTGGCTCACTTTCTTTTCTCCATTGTGAGGTCAGAGGTCAGGCTCAGTAACGACACAGGGACTTAAACCTGGACTCTCCTGACAGATAATCTTGTAGACTGTCATCCTCTAACGGTGCCTCTCTGTGACCAAAAAGCCAAAGCATAGTTTGACCCATAACTAGGGTTTGCGGTGTATTTTTCACGACGAGGATCAGGTCCTCCTGACTGCTTCACATCATGACCGATACCCGATCTGCTTAATAAGGTCGTCAATCCAGGGCAACCCTGTAAATATACGCTTTAAGGATTAAATGTTACTATTTAGTACTTTTGATATAGTAATGAAACATTTCAGCTTCAGGACTTGCTTAAGACAACATGCACCAGGAGTGACGGGTCCAGTGTTGTGCTGTGTTTCTGGATGAATTCTCAGTCTGACTTTTAGGTGTATATAATTAAGAGTTATTTTACATTACAGTCATTTAGCAGACGCTTTTATCCAAAGTCTATCACATTTCTGCACCGTAGGCGAGCAATTTTACGGGAGCAATTTTGGGGTGAAAGACGGCCCTGCTATCCACTTAGCCACAATCGCCCCACAACTTTAAGTTCCTAACTTGCTTGATGAAGGATACTCTGATAGAGATGCAGAGTGGACCACTACTGCTGCACTAAACACACTTTTAGGCCAAACACTGACCTGTCTGACACCTTGAGCCAGGATGAGCTGGTGTTTCTGTAAGAAAGACCGGTAAAGTGTTGGTAGAGGTGACTGTGTGATCACAACGCGTCTCCTGACTGTCAGTAGTGTGACTGATCTGGACTGGGTCAGTTTGTCTTAACTCTCAGCCTCCTTCACTGTTTGTACCTGTCACACTAACCTCTCGTGTGTGTGTGTGTGTGTGTGTGTGCTGCAGTCCACCGAGGCAAAGCCAGGGTTTAGCTGTGTCTCATGATTTATTCATACTACGAGTGGCTGTGCAGGTGTGTGTATGCGTTGTTGGTGTGTGTGAGTAGTAGAAGGCTTATCAGTGATTTAAACTCCAGGCATTAAGATACAAGCTGATCAATGTTGATGTGTAGATGGATTGAGGAATAAATACCGTCGCCTTGTTCACTCATCTGTTTTATTTCCTCTCCTTCCTCACAGGCAACCGGATAAACTGGTGGTGGTTTGGACACGCAGGAGTCGGCGGAAATCATCCAAGGTTTGTATTTAAGGGAGAGGCATTAAAGAAACGCTAAAAACAAATAAAGGTTTCTCACTTGCAAACATTGTTGTTTATTGTCCCTCTTGTGCTGCAGGCTCACAGCTGGCAGCCTGGCATCAAGAACCCCTACAGAGGAGTGGTGGTGTGGCCCGTACCAGAGAACATAGAGATCACGGTCACTCTCTTTAAGGTAGGAGGCAGCTGTGTGATGAGTGCTGATGCAAGCAGTTCTGTGTTTAAGGTGGAATAGGGTCATTTATGGAGCATGACGGTCTTCATGAATTGGGAGATTTATCACCAATTGTTAGCACCCAAAAGCAGCACAATGTGTATTTATTTACTACAGAAAAAGGAATTTATTATGAATATTAAAGAGCGATATTGTGTAGGTTATAATTTCCTGCCAGGACTGTTGATGTTGGCACGTTTTGATCTGTGCATTCAAGGTATTCGGGACCATATTTAGGTGTGTATAGTAACACAGTAGTGCGCCGTAAGGGACACACGTGTACAGACGGTATCTGTCTTACTTAGACCATGCTGGGCCTCTGTGCTGACAGGCTGACAGAGCTCCGTATCTCGTGACCTCTCCCAGTGTCTCAACCACAAATATCACCGTACCGGCCTCTGCTTTGTGTCGTAGTAGTTTTACTTATAAAGCACACTGTTGGTTTTCTAGGCTCATGCTTGTCTCACACTGCATGTACAGCACCTCTCTACTCTGGGCCCTCTTCCACTTCCTGTCCCAGAGGAAGTAATAAAGCTGTTTTTGTAATGAGACACAAAGCAAAGCCACTGAAGGCGCAGTTCACCCACATCTGCTGTTTTGTTGCATTATGTCGGATGTAGAATTCAGAGTTATCAGAGCTTGAGACGTACGAGGCAGTAGAAGTAAGGATAGTCCCTCTGCTGCATAATCTGTCTCTGGAGTCGCCCAACCTTATGAACACGCAATACTAAATTGCTTGAGTATCCCTTTTTAATACAGAAAACATGACTTAATGCCGTCCTAAATCTGTCTACGACTCGTATATTTCTGCAGCGTGTCGACCAAAGCAAACGGAGATTTAAAGAAGCGCTCCCACTGGCCTGAAGCTCTGCAGTGAAAACAGCTGAGCTCAGCAGTATTGCAGCCTGCACCTTCAGGGAGGTGTGCACACCGGCAGGAAAAAATACTGAAATGAATATGTAACTTCAGAGTGCAGTGGTGTGACTGAATCATAACAGAGACAATGTTCAGGAAGCAATCCTCAGTGAAGCGTTTGCCTTTTCTAAGCTTATCAAAGCTTAATAGAACCTTTTTATTCTTTAAACATGTTAACAATATGTTAGATAAAAAGGTTGTGGCACTAAAACACGGCCGATAACGCACCGTAAACTGAGAATAAACCCAGACGGCTGATAGTTTCAGGCTCTGTTGGCTTTTAGAAGTACTTTATGTGGCAGTGAAATAACGGGAGGACGAGGACGCTGTATGACTTACTGTGTGTGTGTGTGTGTGTGTGTGTGTGTGTGTGTGTGTGTGTGTGTGTGTGTGTGTGTGTGTGTGTGTGTGTCTGTGAGAATGTCCATGTGGGTGATGTGTTTGAGTGATGTGCCAGACTGCAGGAATATTGATTTTTTTTCTGGGGTGTGTCAGGGGTGCAGTCAGTCAGATGGGTGTTTGCTTGTGTGTAGGTGTAGCACTGAGGAGGCAACAGACGATTACACTCAGTATTGATTAATTGTTCAGTCTGTTAGAGGTAAAACGTAGTGGCAACAGCATACTACCAAAGCCTAAAGTGATGTATTAGAAGAGCAAATTTCACGGTTAAGCACAAGGTATTTAATTACTGATGAGTCCAAGAAATGCTTCCACTACTACGTCTACTTTTTGTGTTTTAAAAGGCAGACATTTGTCTGTGGTTTGCATGTGCAAGAACCTGCTTTTAAGAGGCTACATTAAAACACATAGTATTACATCTAGATAGGACACATTGAAACACATTTACATAAAAAAACAATAGAACTACATTATGGCCCCTGGAAGCGATCCTTCTTTTAACTATAAAACTGCAATCTCGGCTTTGCAATGACAATAAAGATGATTTAATGCTTTTTATTGTTCCAGCAGTGCAGTGTGCATAGTTATTCCACAAACTGGACCAGACAGATGGAGAGAAAGAAAAACGACCATTGTTTTGTATTTTTCTGCGTTTTAATGATTCAAGGATGTTTCTTTCTCTTCAGTTTAAAGTTTTCTCGCCCTTTAAGAGAAACGTTCCTGAAATATGAAGTCTATAATGTTATTTATCCTATTTCAACCCTATTATCACGTTGTACTATAGTTGTTTTGATCCTTTAAGTGAAGCACCTTGAGATTTTGTTTGTATTTTTAAGTGTGCTATACAAATACATTTTTATTATTATTAAACATTTGTATTTTTCTATTGCCCTTGCAGGACCCCCATGCAGAGGAGTTTGAAGACAAAGAGTGGACATTTGTCATTGAAAATGTGAGTAGAGTCTTTTTGTTTTTCTACTTTCTTCAACCTTATGGGATATACGTGCACCGTGTGATTGAGTGCCTTGCTTAAAGGCTCCTGGACGGTCACTTACAATGACTGGAGAGGACAACTTCAAAGTAAAACGAGACATAATTCTCAGCTTTGTTCTGGTTAAACCTCGTTGCTTTACACATGCGGGTTCTGCCACCTTGTGGTCAGGCTCTGCTACGACATGCTTCATGTTGGCACACATGTTTAACCACAATGAGTGTTTAGCAGAGTGTGTGTGTGTGTGTGTGTGTGTGTGTGTGTGTGTGTGTGTTAGTGACAAGCCTGCATTTCTACAAGCAAGTGTGAAGTGTCGTTTACAATCCACATCCACATCCTGAGGCTGTGAAAACTTCAGGTGTGATTGTGTCACATCCAGCTGTGACTTAACAAGGGCTGACCCTAGTTATGTATTTATTCATGTATTAATTTGTTCTCTTCTCATCAGTCACACAACTGTTTTCTGTTGCATGCCATGCAGTATTGGATGGAAACGGTGAATAACACAAACACGGAGAAGGGGACAAGAGAGGAGTTGATTGAGCAATTTTTGGAAAATGGGAGGGATGGATTGAGGAAGAGGGAGGAGAGGAAAAGAGACCAGTTGCCAGGAAACTTGGCGTTCACAAGTGGTTTGCTGTGTTTTTATACGTCTGCTGGAGCCGGGTCTGTGACATGTTTGTACTTACACATGAGCCTTTCTTTTAGCCATAAACGTATGACTAGTGCTTTATGTGGCAGTGAAGTGATGTCTCCTAAACTCTTGTAGGGGGACTTTGGACCCTGTTTTTCCAAAGTTTTTAGTCAAATTGGTCCAGTGTTGAGAGGGAGCGCTGTTGGCATCTATTGGGGCAAACTGGCTCATTTACATCCACTAAAAGTGCTCGTTTTTACCACGACGAGGCTCTGACTGTGTTTATAAGTGTCTCACAAGATTATGGAAAGAGTCTCGCTCCATGAGAACCAAATCAAGCAAAAGGTGGAGAAAACCATTTTAACTTAAAGTGACATGAGAGGAAAACACATCTCAGTGTCACTCTATTAGTTGTCGGAGCGATTAAAATTACTAATAATCGGTGACTCTGCAGGGTCAGAGATCAGGATTTACCACAGCACCTCTGGATCTGTTAGGGATCTGGTCCTAGTCCTGGTCCTGGTCCTGTAGTTGAAGACAGAAAAGCCTGACCTCTGTTTTCAGTGCACGCTCGTCTCTTGTAGTGTTCAAGTGTCTGTGTGGTGCTGACGTTTGCTTCTGTTGGTCAAGGTTTTAAAGATCAGGATTAAAGTCTTCAGCACGTTTGTCGCACGTTACGTTTAAAGTTTGTGAGAAATGCACGCCGTGACATGTGTCACCAAACCTGGTGGAATAGTGTGAAGTGAAGAATGTCGTTCACCGCTTGGGAAAACCAAATGTTGATACCCGTTCTGACTTCTGAGCTTTTCACAAAGTGTTTATGAAGTTATAGCTTTCTGTGACGCTTTAGAAACACATTTGCAGCATTTTAAGGAAACATTAGGTGTTTAATTCATCTTTAAACGTTGGTAATGTTTAAGAGCTTCTGAGAGTGACTAAGATGAGCGAATACATATTTTATGAATCCTCAAAGCTGATGAAAACTTCCAGATGCTCTGATGTGTAAACTTTGCACCACTGGTGATCATTAAGGACCACTGGGACTCCTCAGCTACTTCTCTTTAGGAATGTAGGTGAAGGAAAGAGTTTGAGAACTGGCCGAGTTGCAACTGTCACTTTCTGTACACGTCAAGCTCAAAGGAACGCCGGCAGGAACGGCTCTACCTTTTCTCTTTGATAGAAAGCCGAGAGGACAAGCAGGTCAACCGGTGTTCTCTGGCCGGAGCGTGGGAGAAAAAAGAGAGCAAGAAAAGGGGGAGAAAGAGACAAGTTTGTCTCTCTTGCTCTCTCTCTCTTTCTGCATACCTGACTAATGACAGAAAGATCAAAGTGTCAGCAGCCCCCTGACAGCAGGAATGGAGAGGAAAGAGGAGGGAGGAAACAAGGGAGGGAGGGAGGGAGGAGGCAACCTTATACCCTCACACGCTCAGATACAGAGGGAGGGAAATGATGAAATGATAAATGAGAGACTAATGGTGGGATTTAAGGTATTTATGAAATACTTTTTAGATGGTTAAGGGTGTTAATAATAATAATAATAGTAAATGTTATTTTTATTGCACCTTTTATACAAGAAATGCTGCACAATAAAGGAAATTAGACATAGAATGGAAATAAAACCGGGTTGGAATGCCACACTAATAATAATAATGAAACACACTGGAAAATAAGGTTTAAATAAAAATGTATTTAAAAATAAGACTAAATAGAAAATAAAAGTTATAATATTTAGATCAGTGCAAAATACATCAATGAACACTGCTGCTGGTCACACGGTCTCCGTTCTCTTCTATGTTCTGTTTTCTACTTCAATGGTGGAGATTTAAAAATGTTAAATAAGAAGATATAAAGTGTCATCTAAGGGTCAACATTTAACTTAAAACACTTTTAAGATCACTTTGTAGAATGCATAAAGTCAAGTTAAGTACATTTTGAAAGAATTGCAGAAGTGTGTAGCAAAGTGCAATAAAAAAAAAAGATAAAATATATAGAATTCATAACACTAGATGGAAAATAAAACCCACTGAATAATTATAATAAAGATATAGTTAAAGATATTTAGGTTAATTGATTGTTTGATTGTCGTCAAAAATTTTATGCTACATGACTACAAATGTTGAGTAACAGTTTTCCATAACACATCATAACTCTATAATGCAGGTTCATTAAATTGATCTGAGGAGACGAGTCCTGTGGTTTGAATGTTTCATTTACATTCTGCTTTAAGGATATCTTCACAGAGAGGATGCATCTCATGGCAGCTTTTATAGAAAAGCAACAACTAAACTCTCGAGGCATTTGTTTACCTGTTTGTTTGGTACTTATGTGCCACCGATTGGTCACCGGTTGAGTCACTTACTGACACTGTTACTTCTACACTTGATGATATTTGAACTGTGCTGCTGGTTCCTGGTTTAAGGAGCTCTATAAATTGACCACAAGAGGGCAGTCTAGGATCTGTGAAAACATTCAGCGATAAATCTGTTGATCAGCTCCTTATGTCACTTAAGTGTTTGTGTGTCAATAAGAAAGGAATATCTTAGTGTTGATGCAAAGGTGTCCAAACATGTGGGATGTTTGTGCACCTCTGATCACATTTTATTCTGACTTTGCGTGTGTGTGCTTGGATGCATAGACGGCTAAGGTCCTTTTCAGGTATCTAAGCTGATATAAAGTCAGGAGGGATGAATGAATGAATGAATGCGGCACTGAGTGCTGCAGGAACAGAAGAAGAGGAGAGGTGAGTTCTCCTGACCCCTCATCAGACGGCGGAGGAGAAGAATTCGCCATTGTGCCCGAGCGCCGCCCCGGAGATGATGAAATTCAAGATCTCCTCGCGTCTTAATCTGGGGGCCCCAACCTCGCGCTAAACTAATCCCTCCCCGCCGAATTACTGGCCCTGGTTTGATTGTATTTTGTCATTGAAAACGGCAGTGTCAAACACTACCTTTTTCCTTTCTCCTCCTCTCCTCTATTTGTTCGTCTGCCAAGGAGAATCGCATAATCAAAAGATGGAAAGAGAGAGAGAGAGAGGTGGCAGGATGGAAATGGCTACACAGTAGTATCTCTAAATTGCATGCTACCCTTGCCTTTCACCCTTTTTTCAAATAGGCGCGTATTATCAAAAAAGGTGTGCAAATTGAGAGTCAAAAGATTGGATGGCTATATTTGAAGGCATTGTGCTGACAGGCTCCTCTGTGTGTGTGGGGGGGGTAGTGCGTGTGTGCATGGGGGGGTTAGTATGTGTGTGTGCGTGTATTCTTTCTGCGTTTGCATATCAACCAAAGCTGGAGATGGTAGACCAACTTCCCTCATCTTCAAAGCTTTGAGGGGAGGATTTAAGTCACACGCACACACACACACTGGACTGTTGTATATAAAGTGAGAAGCTATCATGTCTGAATACATTGAATATACAGTGTTACACACTCCAAGCCCCCCCCATCTCTCTCCTATTTAAAGTCACACTTCACCTTTTTTCCCACTCGCATTACATCGCTGTCACTCAGAAGCTGCTCTGCTTGACAGCCTGTCTGCTGCACGTTTACACATTTTAAATATCCATTTATTTCTTTTTCAACTGCCACTTAATGGCTTTTAACCGCCTCGTTTAATACTTTAAACCTACACATTAATTGCATTCAAGGTGTTATTCTGCTGCATAAAGGGGGAAAAGATTTGTCACACATACAGAATTGTTAAAGAAAACGGGTGTAAAGGCAAAGTAGTCGTAGCCACGATGTAAATTATTTTTGGTAATTTAATAATTTACCAACGTTTAGTCTTCTAATGAAGGTCGGTCTGAAGAAGACTGCTATGTCAGTTTTTTAACAATTCTGTATGTGCGTTTCATGTGTCATCCAAAACACCTGACTTAACTGATCTTTTCTCGAGCATTTGTTTAGTTTTAATGAAGTGTCATGTGTTGACATCTAAAGGAAAGGTGTGTGTGGACAACTGTGTTTGCCTTATTCAAATCTCTGCAGTATATTTACGGATTTATGTTTAAAATCATAACTTATGCTAACGTTTATGTCTTTTCCGTCCGTGTTGTGACTCCCTCTATCTCCCCCGTTCCTCTCTCTTTCTCCCCCTCTTCAGTCCTTGATGTCCTGTCTGTCGTGGACCACGTCCAACTCCATTAAGGCCGTCTCCACGGCACATTCCTCCCACTTGGCGCACACTCGTGCAGTCACACGCTGTCACGTCGTCATCTCACCGCACACACAGTGAAAAACCACCATCACCTTTACACACACGCACGCACGCACACACACAGACACACACACACACACACACACACTCTCTTTCTCTGTATTGTAACCCC